AGATGTACTATACGGGCAGCAATGAACTCTGGGAATGAGAGTGTTCCGCACCGTGATTCGACCAAAGAATTTATTTTGTAAGCGAGACTTTGATAAACACTTGCTTCTAGTCCAATCAAGCTGGCAATTAGTTTTTTTGTACCTCATCTGCAGGTGAAACTTGTGAGCTCTGCACAGTTCTAGGGTTGTCGGCTTTGCTGTGTGGAGCTCTAACATTTTGATTTAAGAATTGAAACGTGCATGAACTAAAGGTGTGACCTCACCTTCAGAAATTATTTCATGCATAATTTAAAAACACACAGAACCCTTGACGTACTGGCTCTTTAAAATTGTCTTTAATATTTGCGTCAGAGGAAACTCGGAGGTGATATATTTTCTGATAAGATAATTCCATCGCTTAAGTGTGATATATTGAGGTATAGTTTTTGAATGCATTATTTCTGTGTGGTGGAAAAAATGATGATTCTGTAGTCACATCTTGAGGCACATTGTGAACACGCACTGATAACATTTGTAACTTCCCAGCATGCAGTGCAACAGGATCAATATATTTCTGCCACAAATTCAGCTGGAGTCAGCCATGGAGAGATGTTTCAAATACCAGGCCCCCAAATATATGCCTCCTGAAAGGTCCAGGGTGGTTATTATCACAAGAATGACCTTTGTGGGGTCAAATAAAGTTAATTACTTTCTAATTTTAGTTTATCATATAGGTTACAAAAGTAGGCTGTCAATTTAGAGAGACAAGAATCCTAACTGTTGGATTTTATGGCAGACAGAAACAGTGAAGTTGATCTTAGAAAGAATATTTATATATCTTCATCTATATCAGGCCTGAATAGGCAGAATAAAAGGGGCAACTATGGATTTAGGGGGGTAGGTGTGGGGGCGGGGAGGATGGAGATGAGGGATACATCGAGAATGAGGGGTAGGTGGTGAGACAAGGGGGAGTGGGCTGATGGGTGTGTGTGTGTGTGTGTGTGTGTGTAGAGGGGGAGGTGAGACAAGGGGGAGTGGGCTGATGGGGGGGAGGTGAGACAAGGGGGAGTGGGCTGATGAGGGGGGAGGTGTAGAGGGGGAGGTGAGACAAGGGGGAGTGGGCTGATGAGGGGGGAGGTGTAGAGGGGGAGGTGAGACAAGGGGGAGTGGGCTGATGAGGGGGGAGGTGTAGAGGGGGAGGTGAGACAAGGGGGTGTGGGCTGATGGGGAGGGGGAGGGGAAACAAGGGGTGTGTGTGGCCGGAGATGGAGGATGTGGATGAGAGACTGAAGATGGGGGATGAAGGGTGATGAAAGGGTAGGAAGGGTGTGGGGGCAAGATGGGGAGGAGGGTTACAGGGAGGATGATGGGTAGGTGGTGAGACGGAGGGGGGGGAGGGGAGGAGGAGATGGAGTCACACTGTGAAGATAGGTGATGAAAGGGTAGGAAGAGGGGGAGGGGGATGTTGATGTTGGGTGGTGGGAGGATGGGGAGGAGGAAACATGGGGATGAGGGGTGACTGGTGAGACAAGGGGAGGACTGGGCTGATGGGGGAAGGTGTAGAGGGGGAGGGGGAGGGGGGATGCGAATGGGGGATGAAGGGTAAGACAAGGGTGTGAAGTGATGTTGGAGGAGATGTGATGTGGGGAGGATGTCCATGAGAGCCGGTAAAGATGGGGTCGAGGGAAAGATGGCTATGACAACATTAAGGGTACATCTGATAATGTAAACAGTCGTCAGTAATGTGTAAATTTGAAAAAGTTCAACTCATGAATGAAATCAGTCTATGTTTGTAAATGTTGATTGATTTATCTCTTTTTATCATTAAGCTGCTCTAAGGTAACTTTGAAAATTGACCATAAACTGTTGGGATTTTCTACCACTTTGTGCCAAGTTTGATTTTGTACATCATCGCTAACAGCAGTAATTTGGCCACACACAGGAAACCTGTCTGTCTTGAACCGTCCTCTTTGGCATACAGCGAGTGAAATTGTAATTACCGCTTGTCAAGAACAATGAACGCAATTAGCCTTGCGTTCTGCCGTAAACGAGAGTGATTCATCATGCGAGGTCGGAATTGACACACTGGTGGGCAGTTGACCACGAATTATGCCTTAGGTTGATAGCCATGTCGAGAATGCTTATATTGTAATAAAATCTGATATAAAACTCCATCAGGACTCCGTCACTGAGAGATGTGACGCCAAGAAGTAAAGCGTGATCGATTACGCTGTACGGCTTCAGTCCTGCTTCAGGAAATTCATTTGGAATGTTTTGGTAGGATTGACTTGGTTTTCTCTCATAAATATAAATATCTCACTTCCTATGATCAGCCACTGGGACAGTTCAATTCTCCAGTCACGCTGACTGGTCAATGGTGAATGGTTGTTGGTCGATTGATATGCTTGGCTCCAATTTAATTTAACTTGAAAGTCGGGGATTTGCTTTAAGTGTTTTTTGTCATGTTTTTCTATCTTGAATAATATTGTTTCAGTTGGGAAAATAGTTTTTTTTTACCTGGCGTTTACTTTGTTAGACTTGACAAACCTTGATAAACAAACAAAATGTTGTATTCAGTTTTTGTTTAATTATTAGTGGTGTAACCATTGATCTAGTCTGTTATGCAGTCCCAGGAACAAATATATCCAATACAGCCCATGCAAGTCTAGGTGCTCCTATTGATCATATTCTATTAAATTAATTTAATGTTTTTTAGTGTAAAATGTATAAAAGTCCCTGACCTTGCAATAAAGAATGATTTCAATAATTGATACTTCACTATATACACGTACATAGATGCAAGGTCTGATTAGTAATTAAGTAATAATCAACAAAGGCTGGTTCACTGATCCAGATTTCTTTTGAAATAAAAATATGTTGAACCATAATCAACACATCTGGTACCTGTAAGCAATCATCTTCCCGAGGCAAGGGAGTTAACTGGCAATAGAAGTCCAGTTCACACCGATTATGTTTCTAGGTTAGTCAGCACCATACCCGTGCTCATGGGTTTCACCGAAGTGGTAAACGTCTGAGACCTGCATCACTTCGGAATTTCCTCCCACATTAAGCTGACATGCCGTGATATAACTGGAATACTGTTAAAAGCGGCGATAAACCCAACTCACTCACTCACTTACTGACCAGCCAAAATATAACTCAGGAATTCCAGCCAAGTTCGTCAAGAGTGGAAACCGGAATTTTACTATAAGGGTAACGCTATTTTTCAGGGCATTATCATTTGCAGAAGCCCGAGGTCTTCCATTAAGACCGAGGGCTATTGCAAATGATAATGCCCTGAAAAATAGCGTTACCGTTATTATAGCTAAAAGGGATGGAATTTGTTATCAAATAAAAAGAAACAACAATATCGGTTTTGAAACATTTACTGCAATCAACACGAATGTCACTGACCCACTTTTACAAATATGGAAACTACATAGAACAAACCAGATGACGTCACTATTGAACGTGACGACACCTATCCCTATCCTATGACATCACCTAACAACGGGCGTGATAATGGCCCGTCGTCAAGTAATATGAGGGCATTATCAAGTTACAGGGGCCCGCTCATTTCTGATAACATGCGGGCGTTTTAATGATAATTCTATCCGTTTTAGCTATAAAGTCAGTTAACTCCCCTGCCTTGGGAAGATGGTAAGAACATTGCACTTTGAAAAAACAAACCTATAACTTCATATCAAACATAACCCACAGCTGCCACCTGTAACTCTCTTTTTGTATTGACATAGGATGCCAAGAATTCTGCATCTTGTTTAGGTAAAAGTACCAACATTCACACAGACTTGAAAAGACCTTAGGAATCGATGCACTGCCTAGAATTAGACAACACTGATTAACTTTGCTGGGAATCAAGAAAATAAAAGCAAGTCTGTAGCTTGATTGATAAGTGATGCTGAAACACTGGTCTGGGCACTGGAATACTTCTATAGTGTATTTATATGTATAAGCATGATAAGTGGAACCGTTCTGACAAGGACCATCTTCCCAAGGCAAGGGAGTTAACTGACTATAGAAGTCCAGTTTCCACCATTGCCAAACTACGCTGGTATTATGGAGTTATATTTTGGCTGGACTAACCAGTCTATACATAGTCCATAGTCCATAGTCCATATGTGTTGGTAAACTCCAATGCAGGATTTGCAAAACATGTGTACCGTCAACTTAGCGTCATCAGATAGTTTTCAAATCTGTTCATGTTTTTGATCAAGGTGTTCAAGTTATTTGATGCACTTAGCAAAGTAGGACATGTTTTATCACAATATAGATATTGGTTATCAGACAGTTTGTCCTGACAGGGCCCTGCTATTTCGTTTGAAGCAAATACAAGTGATATGAGAGGTGGAATCTGATTGGTCAATAGGAGGGACTCAGAAGGGCCATAACTCGGAATAGCAACAGGTGGTGCTACGATCGAGCCCAGAAATTCTATCCTATTTTGGCAAGGGTGGAAAGTGGACTTTTATGGGTTGGGTTCAGATCCATGAAGGACACTTATTAGTAACTTTGGTTTGTCAGCACCAAGCTCAGAGTGATGAACCTGTGTCACTGAGTGTTGTTTCAACAAAACTTGATGTGCCAGAATAGAACTACAACTCTCTCAAAGTACCAATGCTGTGGTGATGATAACATTAGGTGGGAATAGAGTACAATTTTCTCTCTCTCACGTACAAGTGCTAAAAGGATACAACACCTGTGTATTTCTCAGAACTCTAGGAGAAATATACACCCTCAAGATCTCTCCGTTCCGATAACAAACTTGTGCTTTAAATCCCTGCAACCAGACTCAAATCATTGGGTCAGGGATGTTACAAGTTTTGGCCCTCTACACCGTGGAACTATCTGTTCCTGAAATACTACAGTCTGTATGAATTGTACTGCATCAGTTTCTGTAGCGGTATGAGCTGCTGCTACTGATGATGATGATGATGATGATGATGATGATGAAAAGTGTGTGGTTTTGCATGTTTTTTATGTGGATGTTTTTTTTGTTTCAGACAAAGTATGCCCTTCTTGATGAGCGAGACATATCCTTGGTTGAGCAGTTTGTATTTGAGGTACGTTTTTCATGCATATGTTCATTGTCAGCAATAAGTCAATGTAATGAATAACAATGTACAGTATTACTGATGGACCGGTGAAACGTGACACAGACGTTCAACAAGATGGATCGCGATCTGATCTCAGTGGGTCAGTATTTTGAGAAAGGGTAGAAACTATGAAAATAAGTGTATTTCTTTCGATTTTATCAATAATCAAATAAATTGAAATGTTCTTGGTACTACTAATCTCAGAGGTATAATATTTCTGGTATGCGCTGCTAGTTGTCACTGTGTTACCTCCCTTGATTGATTGTTACTGTGGTTGCAAATGGTGACCAAACCACTTGACTGTGAGGTCATTCCCCAAAAAGGTAAAGATGACGTATGACGGTATTTTGGTCTTAAGAAATGACGTGCAGTTTGAAGGGGAAGAGTATACAGCAGTGTGTTAATGGTTATATATTGCAATGCACACCATTACGTGATCAACATGGGCACAATGTGTGAAACTTCTTTCTGACATCCCCTGCCATGATGTTGCTGGAATATTGCTAAAAGCGGTGTAAAAACCATACTCACTCACTCACTCACTCACTCACTCACTCACTCACTCACTCATTCTTAACATGACAGGTGTCAAGTTTTTATGGGTAGAATTGTATATTGTATCGCTACTTCACCATTGAGACAGTATAGTATCATGAGAAGTGTGTCAATAGAACTCCAGTGTTCACTGTTCTTATTGAAGGACACCTCTGTCGTCGAGTCATAGAGTGTCCGCCTTGAGAGAGGAAGGTCAGAGGTTCGATCCTGAGTCATGTCATACCTAAAGACGTTAAAAGATGGTATTTATTGTTAGCCTGCCTGGCGCTAGGCATTAAGGGGCTAAAACACTTGCACGTCGCTATATAAGTGCAATAATCTTGAACGCGACATAAGCCCTTTTTTCACCTCACCACATCATAATGAGAACAATTATAGATCTTGATGATTCATCGTTTCACTTGGTGACTCGGCACCTAAAATTAGCCTTTTGATTGTATTCAAAACATTGTTCTATTAATAACAGTTCTGATAAATGTCTGTAGACATAAAAAGTCATTAAGATTTCAAAATTAAATATCATGTAAGGTTTAGGCTCAAACCTGAAAATGGCTGATTGAATATAACCCCAGAGTTAATGTGAACTGCTCTTGGGTGTTCCGAATGTTGACCTAATCTTGGCCATCTATGAATGCCATTAAGATATTGATTTGCACAAAAGAACCCACAGAAAACCTATATTTACATTATGAAAGGTAACTATTTTTTCATTTTGTCTCTTGATTGAAGTATGTGCTAAAAAACTTCCGCAGAAATAGTGATTGTTTTACACCCGTGTAGCATAAAGAAATCAATAATTTCTCAGTCAGATCCTAAATCTAAATGTTTTTGTGAATTGTCTTTTCTTACATTACTTCTTGAAAAATATAACATTGCCTAAAAGTTTTAATACCAGTTTCAATGATATTTTTGTAAACAAAGAATGACTCTTTCTTGAGTAATTGAAAAGAGGTATGGAGACATATTTGACGTATTTCAGCACAAAATCTTGAAAGGAAATACAACTGAAGAATGTATCAATTCTGAGCATCATTTGTGCATTCTTCGCCCACTAGATCAGCAACATACTCCGAGGATAAATGTGACGCCCCTGGATGTCGACCGCCTGAGTTTTGCCTTGGGGTCGACATAGGTGGTATTTAGCCTTCTCCTGGCACACAATTGGTACGGAAGCTACGCCCATATGACTCTGGTTTAAGTGAATGTGAGCTTTCTTGTGAGAGAGACTTCATTCAGTATACTTGCCTCCACCCTTTGACGTGTGGTGCTGTCATACAATCGTGAGGCAACATGATGGATCGTCTGATGTGTTGAAGGTAGAATGGTCTTTTGGTTTCCCTGTAGATACCTCCGACTCAACCCGTTCCAGACAGTTTGATCATTATCCTGCTGTAGGATCAACTTGGGTGGAATAGGATGAAGGTTACATTGGTGACTTCCTGGGCTGGTTGGACTGTATCTTAAGTTGATCGGATGTAGACTAAGCAATCGGTATATCTGTAGAGTCGGTCTGAATTAGAGAGGCTGGATATTGATGAAGGAGTTTGCTTGTTGAGTGTTGGTTGAGCTGTATCTGATTTTGATGGTACTGATTATCAATATCATCAGAAATACATATTGGTGGATGTTGAAATGCTTGTACTAACATTTTGCCTGATAAATTGGAAGCATTGGCTTTTTGGCAAAAAGAACAGTTCATAAGGAATTATTTGATTAAAAAAAAAATGGTTGTGCTTGTTGGGAAAAAAATTGAGGGGTTTGAAATTAGTGTGTCTTGAGATTGGATTAGGTTCTCTACGGGGGATCTGTGAGATTGTGCAGACTGTCTTTTTTTGCTTTTCACTTTTGTTAGAAGAATCTCATCCTTCAAGACATAATTCATGGTTTAAGAAGTTTGAAACCCTTGTGTGGGGACTTCTTTCATCCGAGTTCTTGGTCTCAAGGAATATCAGATTTTCTGTGATGGAAGTAACCAGGGGATGTCCCATTAGTTAACTTGCTTCTGAGAAAGCTTTTCTTCTGCTAAGTGTTTGAGGCATTAAAACAAGAAGCTAGAAAACAGTTGGCTGTAAACTTAGTTTGACCTTGTCTGCTTCATTTCTTCATCAGACTTTTAATCAGGTTCCTGTCTCAGTCCCTTGAACTAGGTACAAGTTCAATTTCGTGAAGCACCAAACATAACTTTAGAATTGGGGACAGAAAAGGTTCCAAGGTCATTATGATCATAAGACCTTGCTTGGGGAGGTTGGGTAGTCCAGTGGTTAATGTGTTCACTCATCATGCTGAAGACTTGGGTTGGTCACTCACTCACTCACTCACTCACTCACTCATATGAGGATTGCATGGTCACAATGGCTGTATTGGGGTAAGAATAGGTCTTCAGCAACCCATGCTTGTGGAAAGACGACTATGGTTGTCGTAAGAGGCTACTTACAGAAGCGAGTGGTCAGGATCACTGACTTGGTTGATGCATGTCATCGTATCATTGATGCTCATGATGTCAGTCACTGGATTATCTGGTCCAGACCCAATTATTTACAGACCGCCGTCATATAGCTGGAATATTGCTTAGTGTGGTGTAAAACAACAAACAAACAAACAAACAAACAATCACATCATTCCCTTCTATTAATGTCTTTATTGCGGGGGCACAGGTGCCCCAGTTGCAATTGGTTGTGCAGAGTTGCCTCCCTTCGACATGATTGTGTGGGTTCGAATCCTGGGTTTACCCAGATAATGTTTCTAGGTTTGTCAGCACCATACCCGTGCTCATGGGCTTCACCAATGTGGTAAACGTCTGAGACCTGCGTCACTTTCGGGATTTCTTCTTCACACATAAAATATCACATGTAATATAACTAGAATACTGTTAAGCCCAACCCACTCACTCATTTTATTGCATATGACAGTTTTACACTTACATGTAATCTAATCAATGGCTAATTTCAAGGCATGTGGAACATTGGAACTATATTACCTACAAATCTGATGCACATTGACAGAACTTATAAGGAAATAAAAGTCTATTCCTTCAACTTGAACACAAACTGCTTGAAATTAGAAAATATTAACCCACTCATTTTTTATAACAGGTCTAAATATGTGCTTTGTAGGAGTTGAGTAAGATCGGCAATGAACAGGGGATGCTTGGGAGATGCTTGTAGGGAAGCTACATCCACCATGATGTAGCATCCAACACTTGATGAGATTCTGCAGATGTCAATTGAAGACATGATTGATCACTTGCAAATTAAACACACTTGTATGAGACCAGTGTATTAAGATATGCTGCACAGTGATGCATCTAGATCGTTTGCACAAATGTATTCAGAGCTTGGTATGAAGTCTGCAACGATCCAGCTACTTCATGGTAGCCTGTAGGTCATCGATTCTGGTTAAAGCGTTCGCTCGTCACGCCGAAGACCCGGGTTCGATTCCCGACATGGGCACAGTGTGTGAAGCCCATTTCGGGTGTCCCCCGCCGTGATATTGCTGGAATATTGCTAAAAGTGGCGTAAAACCCTACTCACTCACTCACTCACTCCATAACCATAAGGTACAGGGGAGTTTGGGCCTGCAGTATGTATAGGGGTCCCCAAGCAGAACGCTGAAGTTTGATCTTCCACATTTGTTATGTTTGGAGTCCTAGGCCGTATATATTTTGTAAGTTTATTTGCAAAATGTTTTGTCTTAATTTAGTGTAGGTGGTTGAAAATGTTTTTTGAAAAAAAATATTGTTGAAAATTATCTTACAGTTTATGAGAAAAAACAGATTATATTTATTTATTTCATTGAGTTCCGGGTGGTAGTTTATTGTTGGACAATAGGTTCAGCAGATTCCATCATCACTGTATTTATAAACATTCACAAGCATGCATCTGCGATGTTGATCGGGGCTTCATTGCAGGCTCTAAATTAGCTTCCAGAGCCATCAGTTTGTAAACAGTAGTAGTTTTGTCCAAACAATCATATGTTATATCATTACATGATATTGGGTTGACGACTAATTGTAAATGTCGACCTGCCTAACGTTGTTTCAGTGAATTCCACCCCAACCCCCATCCACCCCCCATCTAAATTCAGGGTTTTCTCATTTGTTGTTTTTTTTAAACAAAAAAAATCAATATGGCTTCATGATTCCATAATGTAGTGTTATCAAGCCTATGTTTTCAAATAGTTACTCAAATGTTTGCTGGAATAAGTTGTACCGAAAGTGCTGTCTGGATTATGACCCCAGTTAAAAGGGGGATCAGATGGTCCCAGAGGATGCTGAAGATGAACCGTTAAAAAGCCATCAAGGAAACAACATTCACCCGTTATCTAAGAAACATAGTCACAACTGCCAAGTAAGAGGCACCCAGCCTGATATTTATCTACAAGCTCACCTTTAGAATTGACTCGCATTGAAAGCT